GGTGACACTGGCTGGTCACTCTGTTATACTGAACAATTTATTGTACATTTAAAAATAAAAGCATATAACTGGATTGTTTGTAATACGGAGAAAGGATAAATGCTTGAGGTGATGGCTGTTTATCCTGATGTAATTATTACTCATTATATGCTTGTATCAAAATAGCTCATATACCCCATAAATATATATACCTACTATGTATCCACAAAAATTAAAAATAAAAAAATTTTAATGTCAATTATTTGTTGAAGAAACCAGGTCATTTGTCATACAGGTTCTTCTCACAGTCTGGATTTATCTGATTGCAATCCCGTGGTGCCATTTTACATGTTCCTCTGTCCCTAGTATCTCTTGTAAATTGGTAGTTTTATCTAGAAGCTTGATTGTATTCAGATTCTGTCTTTTTGGCAGGACTACTTCTTATTGTACAATGGTGCTATACCCAGTGCCTGTGTATTTTCTTTTATAGCATATCAAGAGGCAATTTCTTTTTTTGTCTTTTAATAATATTAAGACTGATCAATGAGAATTATCAGCTGAATTTGTCTTTTATAAAATTTTATAATGTCTTTTAAAATTTTGTCTTTTATAAAATTCTCTGCAACCTTTCACTTAATGATATTAGCAACCATTGATATTTGCTTTAACACATTATTTCATTAGGAATTACAAAGTAGTGATTTTTAGAATTCTATCATTCCTTTGCATTTTTTTAGCCTCTGTGAGGAAGTTTTCTTTAGCAACTCTTTGGTGACTCTGAAAACCAGTTTTAATTACTTACTTTTTGCTTAATTACTTCTTTTATTTATCAATTTTTAGGTTAATTTATCAATTTTATCAACTAGGTTTTTGAGGGGAAGAGAATATTATTAAGAACTCATGGATTTTTATATGTTTGAAGTGTTTCAATCCATTGTAATCGTTATTTTGGGTCCAGTGGGAGCCTCTTTCACATTGGCTCCAGAATAGTACTTTATAATTTATAAGATACTTAACCGTACATTAGTCATTTGAACTTCACAAACAACCCTATGAAGCTAAGTGTTACTACCCAGTTTTACAAATGAGAAATCTAGATCACACAGCTCAAATCAGGACTTGACGTCTATTGTTCTTTGTATTACATGAGACAGTGATTGAAAGAATGAGTGTTAAAGGTGACTAAATTCTTTGTATTTTTCTTTTCTCTGCTTCTGAGACTAAACAGCAGCTGTCTTTAACCAGTGGGAATATGATATTAAGCAATATCCACTTTAGAAGACATTACTTGCAGCAAACACTGTTGATAATACTGTAACTTAGTAAATAGCCTCTCTCAACTTTGTTTGTGAAGCATTTCAATTTTGATTACTCTGTGTGGGATCTACTGCTCAGATGTGTGTCATTTTATGGTCTACCCATGTCTGGGGAGCTGGCATTACACGCTGCCTAGTGTTTTTAATTCAGAAGTTCTTCTAAAAGAAACCTTAGCCTCCTATATTCCAACCCTAGTTTTAATAGCATAAGCTATTTCCTTCTTATATAGCTTTGTGGGCATAGTAATAAAATAAATACCACAAAATCACTGATGAGATGAAAATTGAGCTCCCTGCTTCTGTGCAGCCATGTAGGTAAAACAGTAATTGGCTCTGATAATAACTTTTGTTCTTACAAACCAAAGTCTGAATGAGAGTCACATTTGATATATCTGCTTGTAATTACCATCAAAAGGAGAGAATACAAAGTTTAGATTGTGTAGTGACTCAAGATAGATTACATACATTGATATCTTTTCTTGACCAATTTACTAAAATTTTCTGAAATTATTTCTGATATTTATCTTACTGTTGGTAAAAAATGATCATCTTCCAGAGCATACTTTCCTGCTTAATGGAATGATTAATTTTATTTTTGTTTTTGAAGTCTATAATTGATTTTCTTGAAAACCTTATTATTGGGTCTCATAATACAGCATATGTTTGTAAGTATTTTCCCATATATCACAATAGATGGTTTGTAAGACAAATTTAGGTTTTGAATGTATTTGGTAGTGAATTTCAGTGAAACATTTGTTATGTTAATTTTTTTTTTTTTTTTTTGAGACTGAGCCTCACTCTGTTGCCCAGGCTAGAGTGCAGGGCATGATCTCAACTCACTGCAACCTCCACCTCCTGGGTTCAAGCAATTCTCATGCCTCAGCCTCTCAAGTAGCTGGGACTACAGGCGCCCGCCACCATGCCTGGCTAATTTTTGTATTTTTAGTAGAAACGGGTTTCACCATGTTGGCCAGACTGGTCTCGAACTCCTGGCCTCAAATGATCCACCCACCTCGGCCTCCCAAAGTGCTGGGATTACAGGAATGAGCCACTATGCTCATATGATTATGTTAATATTCTTTAAACATAGATGCCTTTTAAGTGTTTTTGAAAAGAGCAATTAAATCATGTGTGCTACATATTACTATTTTGGTATACACAAGCATTGGTACCAAAATAGTAAATATGAGAACATTAATATTTTTAAATTATCTTTTAACCTCAAGTCATTGCTTTAGAACCCAACAATAAAGAATTGATAGTACATCTATCATTTCTGTTGGATTTCTATTTACATACTGATTTCTTTTCGGAAATAACTATGTCTAGTGCTACAGAATTTAACAATAAGCAGAACACTACAGGATTTTAAGGCCAGTTTTAACAGTGATTCTGTATTTGGCCATTTCCTCCCTATACCAGACCTATAACCACACAAACTTGATGGAGCATGATAAAACTAAGAAAACTGCTATGGCCCACTGAGCAAATAATCCCATAATTAAAAAGTTCTAACAGCTTAGACATGATAGATGAAGCTATTACCATCAATTCTGTATCCAGAATACACACATTTTAAAAATACCCTAATTACAAAAACCCAGATCCAGTCAATATAATACATATTAGCAATTTCCCAATCCTTGGTAGAATAGCAATTATTCTGAACGTTTAAGAAGGAAAATATTATGTTCAGGTATTAATTTCAATAGAAGAGGCAATCTGCTTCCATGCAAAAACCCTGGAGTAGTGCTGTGAGTGTTACCCACAGAAGAAAAGCCATTTATAATTAGGTATGACATTACTTTTGTGACCACATGTACCTCAAGGAGAAGGAAATAGACATGCCTTGTTTGAATCCTGTATTCTTGCCCAGATTAAATAAAGTAGACAGTTGAGGACAGTTATTTGGAGATTTGGTTTAAGAAATGCTATTGGTCGGGTACGGTGGCTCACACCTGTAATCCCAGCTCTTTGGGAGGCTCAGGCAGGTGGATCATGAGGTCAGGAGTTCGAGACCAGCCTGACCAACATGGTGAAACCCTGTCCCTACTAAAAATACAAAAATTAGCCAGGTGTGGTAGCATGTACCTGTAATCGCAGCTACTCAGGAGGCTGAGGCAGGAGAATCACTTGAACCTGGGAGGCAGAGGTTGCAGTGAACGGAGATTGTGTCCCTGCACTACAGCCTGGGTGACAGAGCAAGATTCCATCTCAAAACAACAACAACAAACATGCTATTAAAAAGTAAAAGGAAGATTTAGAATATCTGTTAAGAAAGACCTTACCTAGACATATCTATGCTTATCTAGCATACATTCTGTAGATATTTTTGTAGCCGCCTTCTTCACTTTGACCTTAGGCACAGACCCTTTATGAATGCTTATGTCAAAGAAATAGCTGGATCATGAACAAATCTGTCTGATTCCTACAACCATTTTAACAACTGCGTCAGATCACCCTCAAAACTAAGACACTTAATTGAAGGGAAAACAGTTAAGTTGCTCACGGTACTTCTAACCTCCTTTTAAAAAAGTTACAAAGCCTACAAACCTACATATTTTGACTCCATTTTTATGAAATGTCCAGAATAGATATACATCAGTAGAGACACAAAGTAGATTACTGGTTGCCTGGAACTGGTGGGAAGAGGGAATGGGGAGCAATTGCTAATGGGTATGAGGTCTCATTTTGGAGTGATGCACATGTTCTGGAATTAGATAGCGGCGATGGTTGTAGGAATATACTGAAAACCACTGAATTGTACACTTTAAAGGGGTGAATTTTATGGTATATGCGTTGTATTACAATTTTAAAAATCACAAAAGACTAGAAATTATTAATAATACCATATTCCCTACATGCGAAATTATCTTTTAGCCTAAAATCATAGAATCCCAAAGCTCGGGCATGGTTCCTCAAGAGACCATGAAGTGTAACATGCATTTTGCGAATAAAGAAACTGACTTCCATAGAGGTGAAGTGACTTACCCAAGGTCACACAGAGCAGTTAAGAGGAGAACTGGCACCTAGGGGTCCTGACAACTATCTAGTGCCCCTTCCCACCACCACTATGTGGCCCACTCTCATGGTTTATTTTTAAGCATGTCAATGATAACTAATTTGAATTATTTAAAATGAGGAATAAGTGGTTCAAACAAGAGGCTTTTTTTTTTTTCCTAATGAAAGCATAAATTATTCTTGCAGATAACAGAATCTCTGTGAAGGAGTAGATAAATTTGTTGTAAATTTACCAGGCCCAAATTGAGATTTACCTGTAAATGTCCCTAGAGGAAAGTGGCCACATTAACAGACCAAGGGAGCCCTCTGCCTGTGTATTTGTGGTATAGATTTCATTGGCAAAATCCTTGACCTGGAAAGCTAAAAATAAATTAAGACCAGGTATTCTATCTAGTCCTTTGCCCACCTTGGTTGGCTTCCAGCGTTATTTTTGAGAAAATGTGTCTGAGGATGTATTTGTGGGAGCAATGGGATATACGGAGGAAAACCTATAGAAAGTTCCTTTTCTGTGAATAAAAGGGACTGATCAGCAGCCTAAATAAAAGATCCAAATATATTTTTTTCCAGTGAGAATTTCATTAAAATAATTATTTCCAAAGAACTTTAAACTCCTTTGAGGATATAAAATGTTAGTAAGCATTTTTGTTCATCCAGCATGAAAGTTTCATTGTTTCTTTGTTTCAGCGAAAGATAGGGTTGAATGTAAAAATCATGCAGGATCCTGAAAACATCCACCACAGAGCTGCTGTAAATGCGAACTATGGAATCAGTTTACCATATATTAATCAGAGAAAAGCATGTGTAAGTAATGAGTTGTTTTAATGAGCTCTTATTTTTTAAGAAATAAAAGTCATTTATTAGTAGTGTAAGATGTAATGTAGATATTAAGTAAAGATTGTGATCCTTTTGTCTTTGGAATTTTTTGGAGATGGAGTGGCTCTCATTCTGTTTGTAATTAGCAATGATTAAGAAAATGTACGCCTATTTTAAAGACTTATTTGTAGCTCATTCAGATTTCTCTATTTTATTTGATATTCCTAAATAATCTAGTACCATAATTTTAATGAGGAAATAATTTACCAGCAAAAAGAATTAATAGAGAAATTTTAAATATTGTATTTCTTTGATAGTAGGCTTAGCACTAGAAAAATCAAAATAAAACAACAGCACAGAATCCTCTTCACTTGTATATACTCTCATAATGTACAAATATATGAGAATATTATTCTAAAGCTGAGGTAAGCAGGGACTAATCCTTTGTGTCAGCAAAATAATGAGAGGGAAAAAGAATCAAATGTAGATTTGCAGTAAGAGATCTCAGAGTTGATGCCCATTTTTGCCATTGACTAGATGCTACCTTGTCCTAAAGCAAGGATTGTACTCTTTCCATGTTGTGGAGTTTTCTTAGGAGAATTAAGAGTAGTGCTTCATTTTAACTGGGAAATTATTTAATTTGAGATCATTTCTAACACTGAAAACAATTACTGAGGTAACATCTCTATTTTTGTAAGTATATTTTTAACCTTTGGCTTCTCTCAAAAGCTCTTAAATGTATGACTTGGTGAAATCAAAACTAAAAGCAAGATTAATGTTAGAATTAAATTGCAAAGCCATTTCTAACTAGCATAATAGTCTCTTAGATTAATCTTCCAAATTTCCTACATAGACATTTTCAACTGCCTACTTCATTCATGTAACCCTGAAATGTATTTTCAGTTTCTTTATATGTGCTTTATGTTATTCTAACAGGTTTGGTTTAAGAGCACTTTATCTTACAAATACTTGTATAGCCTAAGAAATAACCGGAAAGTTAGATATTTTTATTCCTGCTGAAACTTTATTTAAAATGTCACTGTGAATAATGTGAAAGGGTTTTTATCTGCTTCCCATGAGCCCAAAGCTCTTGAAATACAAATATTATTTCTCTGGCAACACAGACAGAAGCAGATTTCTCTTTTGTTGTTGTTGGTTTTCCTCTTCAATCTAGAATTAATATTGGCTTAGCTGGAGGAGTACTGAGGCTTTGTAGCCCGAGGCAACTGTTGTGTTTCATGCGAACTTTTTCTGATGAGTACTGGAGTTTTAAAAGGCATACCTCTAGATTTAAAAAGGATTATGCTTTGCTTTATGAATCTGAATGAAGATTCAGACTTCAGTAAATAGAGATTTCAAAATTATATCCAAAACTTGGGACAGATTCTTAGTCATTAATTATATATTTTTCCAATTTCCAAATAGAATGAATGCCTTGGATGTTGTATCTATATACTTTGAGCAAAGAGAATTTGGGAAAGCACTTTGCCTTTTATAACATATAGCTAATAGATGTTCATTTACTGTATTAAATCTCCTTTTTCTGTCAAACTTGATGCCATAAATATCTACACCAGAGCAACTTAAAATTGGATGTACATTATGTATATTTTTTTCAAACTGTCAGCCTTTTGATCAAATAGTTATCATTTTGTGTTGATATAGTTGTATGGTAGTACTAACTGAAAAACAGTATTTTCATTTTGGATTTACAAAACAGAAGCATTGTGCAAAAAGCACTGTGAAAGAAGTTTGTTCAGGTATTTGGTTTTAAACAGTCATATAAAGCATTTGGGGATAAATGCAGTTGTGATTTACCACTTATAAAAATCATTTCAAAAGTACTAACCCAAACTAGAGTAATGTGTCTAGCATTGTGATGTATAGTTAATTAGAAAGGCATCATCAAAGCTAACCATTTTAGAACTAAACACTCGAAGGGGATTATTATTTGGCTTCTGAGGGCCATGTGTTTCCTTACTTCTTATGAAACTTGATCAGCTTGTCAAAAGCCTGTAAATAACCTTAGACATTTTTGACAGAGCAAATGTGAATATGTAGCCACTTTACATTATTTGTTCCCAGAAGCTGGTATCTTCTCCATCTTAGGAAGCAGTGTATTCATCCTGATAATAAGAGGCTGATGCAAGGATTTTAGTGCATTGAAAACACATATAACCCCTGCCACAACATACTCATATTGCAAAACTATCTTGAAAATTGTATATCCTGTGACTCTGTTATGTAAAATCAATTTACCAAAAACGTGTTAAAAGTGAGACTCACTGGTGGTTTTTTCAATATCTTCAGTCTGCCAAATAGTAACAAACAGCCTTCTAACATTTTTTCTAGTAGGTCCTCAAAGGTATGTGGAAGCAAGAAGAAATCCCTGGTACTGTTCACATTTCCTCACTGACATCTAGTTCCAGTTAGAGTTTATAGTATAACACATTAAGAGATCTACAGAAAATTTGACTTTGATTTATTTCTTTTAAATAAAAAGTGTTTCTTAAAAGGCTTGAAACATGTATCTGTTAACATGAATTTTAAAAGAACGATTATGAATGCATAACAAAATAGCCAAACCAAACATTGCTTTGAATTGCTGCACAAATAACTCTGATTATAACTGTTATGACCTAGAAAAGAATCATAAAAACATTTTTCTTTTTGGCAAGATATGAGTTGCTGTAGAATTATACCAGTTCTTTGGTCCCACTTTCCAAATAAATAAATATATAATGCAATGTAAACTTAGAATCTTTTATTTATTCATGAGGTTGAATTTAATACTATTATGATTTCTAGATTTTATGAGTCATATGTTATGCAGTGTTTTCCACTAACTTAGTTGGGTAGCAACTACACTTCACAAATCATAGTTTCATTCTTTACTGTTTCACTTGGGGTGTACATAGTAATCTCTCTCTCACTGAAAGCATACTCATTTCTGAAATGATAAAGTGATAGAAAGTGAGGCAATTGTGTTAATGTCAAATGATTAGAAGAAGCACTAGAAGTAAGGGGTGGGGGCAGGGGGTGGGAGTGGAGAAAGAAGGGCGATTTCAGAACATGATTGTGTTTTAAGCCCATGCATATGGCCACAATTACAGTCACAACATAATTTGGCAACGGTAGCAGAATTAGATTTAAACAAATTGATGTTACACTGCAGTAATTCAGAATGAGCTTGTTGCATTTATAAACCATAACAAGAAGCAGAGTGAATTAATAAACCCTTCTTGTCACTAAAAATAAAAAAAGGGAATAATTGCTGAGATGGAGTTAACTTAACAGATGACTATAGTCAGCATCCTTTCAGGCTAGATATGGGAAAGTGAAGGTCACCCCCATCTCAGATGACAAAGAGGGAACATTTTGTTGGTAAACAAATTAATCTTTTGAAAGGTCGCCATTTGTTTTAAGTTTTTATCCAGTTCTTGTCATCTGGAATCAGAGATTGACTGTCATTTCACCAGGCAGGGGTGCAGTTGAGGCAGACAAAGCTGCTTCTGTACGTATCAGCATTCCTTGACAAAACTCAGTGCCTGATTGTGATGCTATGGGCTGCTGGTTTACAGCTGTCTCCGGACAAGAGTGGAGGCCCACCCCTGAATTCCAATAAGATGGGCCTGCATGTTCCGCCTGCTGTAAGCTGGCCCTCTGCCCACAAGTAAAATGTATTGTAGTTCAAGCCAGCAATTATCTCTTTTACTTCCTTCTGTGCTGCTTCTGTTCTCTTTTTCCAAAAACAGATGTGGGTATTCACTCAAGTTCTGCATCTATTCTTTCTCACACCTGCTGGGGCAGAATTTTGACAGAGGTAGAGTTTGAGGGAGCCAGCAGACAACAATCAGATGCAATTGCTTTGAGAGCAGTTTAAAAAGAAAATGTTGATTTTTCAGGAAATGTGGAGTCAGCATCTTGGCCCCCCTCCCTTTTCCCAGGAGCATTTGGTAAATTAAATTAGTTGAACAAAAGGAAATAGCTTTAAAGACATTCTGAAATGCCATATCCTATTTATGACATACAGTCATTACCCAAGGACTGTGGTGGCATGCACAGCATCCCACTCCCATCATTTAAAGAGAGCTTTCTCTTCAGGTTGCTTAGATAAAGAGTTTTCAACAAAGGAATGACTTTTCATGTCCTTCCTCATTCACAGCCTACAAAATGTATTCCACCAATATGGCAGTGATGGTGGTGGTGGTGGTGGAGGTGGTGGTGTGTTGCCTTTGTATGTTGTTGCTGTTTAGAATTTCTATTCTGCATTGGTTTGGAGTGACGGGAAAGCTGAGGAAAGCCATGGAATGTTGGCTGGTGGATGGCTGTCTCACTAAAGCCCATTGCTCTGGGGGCAGGGAGAGGCAATGAGAGGCTATAACCTTGTCAGATAACATTCAGAAAAAAAATCTAACAGTAGTGAGTTCTTTTAATTTCTTTTTTATTTGTTTATTTATTTTTGAGACCGAGTCTCGCTCTGTCGCCCGGGCTGGAGTGCAGTGGCGCAATCTCAGCTCACTGCAAGCTCCGCCTCCCGGGTTCACGCCATTCTCCTGCCTCAGCCTCCCGAGTAGCTGGGACTACAGGTGCCTGCCACCCTGCCCAGCTAGTTTTTTGTATTTTTTTTTTAGTAGAGACGGGGTTTCACCGCGTTAGCCAGGATGGTCTCGATCTCCTGACCTTGTGATCCGCCTGTCTCCGCCTCCCAAAGTGCTGGGATTACCGGCTTGAGCCACCGCGCCCCGCCGAGTTATTTTAATTTCTTTACAGTGGTATGTTTCTTGAGCTTCTCTGCCAAGATTCTGCATGCATTCCCAAACCAACCCCGTGCTGAACTGAAACCACTTTTTAGCTCTCAGAATAGTGATTCTGGGTCAGACTGCCTGGTGTGAATCCTTACTAGACTGGGATTTCCCAGAAACAGTCTCCCTTTCCTCATGTAAAATGTCCATAATAAATGTATCTATCTCATAGGATTGTACTGAGTTTTTAATGAGATAATTCAAAGCACTTAACAAAGGTCCTGGTACAAAGAAGTGTTCTGAAAAATATTAGTTATTACTATTGGTGAGTCTCATATATTGTATTGTGCCATTGTTTTATACTGTCATTTAAAACACATTATTGTAGGGGTCCAGGGAGGGAACCAGAATATTGCTGAGGTCTCCTCCAGGGATACTATTTAATATTTTACATGATTATGCTTTCTTTGCCACACAGATATGAGGACAGGAACCTTGTTGTCTGTTCTGTTTGTCTGTTTTTCAAATCCTCCCCTTTACCAAGCCCTATTTTACACATAATAGGTACTAAGGACAGGACTGATTTGTCCCCTCCTCTGTCCAGTCTCTGCTCTGAAGCTATATAGACTGATGTTGAGTTTTGAAGTGAAGTAATGATTTTGCTGGCTCCTAGTAGGCCTAGTTGCACAGGATACCCCCTCCATGGGCCATCTGATAAGATTTACCTAGTGAAATGCCAGTACTACTGGACTCTTGTTGCAGCCTTGCCACTAACTAACTAGTGTTTCCAAGAGCAGGTTACTCTGTCTCACTCATTCTCATTTTTCTGTTTTATGAATGGGGGGAAGCAAGATGGAGAGACAATCTGGTGTGCTGGGAGGGGCTTGGAGCTGAGATGGATCAGAGTTTAGGTCCTATCTGCTGTTTTGCAGTTACTGAACCCTAGGTAAGCAAATTACATTTCAGATCCTGAGTTCCCTGTTTTGTCAAGTCAGGATAATGATGCCTACTAAATAAGGGTGCTATGGAGAATACAGATAATATATTAACATTGCTGGCACATAATGGGTACCTAATAAGGTTCTTACCTTCCTTAAAAATGAATTAGTACTAAAAATCTCTCATTTCCTTCTTCACACTTATGCTTTTAGAAAAGAATCTGATTTGGCTCTTTTTACATCCTAGTGTAAGTGAGTAATAGGATTTAATGTTCATTTTCAAATTGTTAGAGAGCTCCAGTGAGTTTCAGAGGGGTTCTCAGCATTTAATTTGTATTTCATTTTTAATGATAAATATTTAAGCATTTTAAGTATAATAAAGAACAATACCTACATATTTCAATTGATGCCAAATTTTAATGCATTCGATCATTTGATCGTCCGTGGGTTAATTTGTACTTTCAGGCTTACTCTGAGTGTGTGTGTGTACATTTGAATTTCCCATAAAGGTGTTTTTTATTAGATAGGGTGTAACTTTGTACTAGTCATATTTTGAAATTCAGATCTGCTCATATACACTCCTATAAGAATCATACAAATAAATAAGCAAAGATTAAATAAGCTAATATGTGTGAAGGTCGTAAAGCAGTGCCTGACTCCTGGTAATCATTCAGTAAACATTAATTGGTACTAGTATTAGAACACATGTGTGCTACTATCAATTAAAAGCCAGGCAAGTTCTCTGATGCATACTTTTGGCACAGCATAATAGTCAACTGTACAATTACAGTAATATAGCCACATCATGATAATATAGCATCACAGATTGTTTCACTGCTCGATTTAAGTTTGGGTTGGTTCTTACATAATTTGAAATGAGCTATACAGTCTTTGACAGTGCAAGGTTGCAATGTTACTCTGTTTACAACTGCAGATAAAAGTCAACAATGAAGCATAATGTCAAAATTTGGACTCAACATGCAAAACAAAATTAGATTTCTTTGAAACTCAGAGACTGAAAGAGAAGGGTGGTGAGATACCTGAAAAGAAATTTAAATAGGATATGATAGAACATCCTAAAATGTTACATGACACATTTGAAAAATATTTTTGGTAATTTAACCCTTTAATTATAGTAGCATTTATTAAGTTTGCCGGACACATTGTTTTATGTATACTATCTTATTTAACATATTGTTTTATGTATACTATCTTATTTAACCCTTACACCTCTAAGCAGGTGCCATTTTTATAACCATTTTATAGATAAGAAAACTGAGACTAAGATTAAGCTACTTGCCTGAGGTTGTATAGTAAGCAAGCAGAGTCAGGATTCAAATTAATTATGGAATCTACTTGTCAAATATCCCCCAATTGACTACTTAACAACTAATCCTTAATTATCAAGGAACATAAGCAATTGGTAGACATTGTTAGTGACTCTGTTTTGAAACAAAAAATTTCTACTATTTTAAAGTTTCTGGATCATTTTAATTGAACTAAATTCTGAGATTATAACTGCCATAACAAATTGTTAGCTTTTTGAAATTGCTTATTCACATCTGGATTTTCCACATCTTGTGCAGGCAAAATAAAATATATAAATACATTGCATTCTGTGATAGATGTAAGACTGTAGTTATTTATAACTCTTGATTTCATAATTTGTCTTCATCAAAACAGCCTCATTGTTTCCAGGATTGGTTTACATTGCTATTACCAGAAATATATAATATAAATACATATATAATGAATATATAAGATAAATATTTATATAATAAATATATAATGTAAGCACATACTATATTTAAGTAATAATTATATACATATAAGTACATAATACTATATGCAATTATATTATTTATATTTGTTTTGACATACGCAATTATACTAAATTCTTATAAAATTTGCATTTACTTATATATCAGCATTCTATTTAAGGTTGCATTTGAAAAACTTGTTCTACTGCTGAAAATAAATTTGCAAATCTTTGGCATCAAGTATTACCTCTCCTATGGGTATTTATTTTTTAACAAGAGCAAATCCGCTACTTAATTAAAACAA